GTAGTCGGGCTTGAATGTTGTCGGGTGTCAGGAACGGCTTAATGTAACTTGACCGTGCCTTCAAACGTCCAGTCTCTTGCATATGGCGTCCAATCGTACGACGAGGGATACCAGACTTGAACGCCAGTGCCCGCATCGTTTGCCGCGATTCTTGGGGGACTTGGCGGATTGCGGCTTCAATCTTGTCCGCAGAACGCGTTCTTTTGCGACCAGAGTTTCCTAAATCAGTACAACCTTAAAACTTGATACTTCTCAAAGATAGTAGAATATAGAATCATGGAGGCTTTACCTGCAATTTTCGGCGCGATATCGGCAACACCCCTGCCATTGCGTGAGGATGCACGGCCACGGCTCCAGATACGGGAGATGGTCCGCGAATCACACTGAAACTGTTGTGCTACATATAGCATGGCGCCACGGGGTAGCTGGCCTTGAACGCATATCCAGGAGCAGCTCGTAGATGCGATGACGTTGCGCGAGGGTCAGGTGCTTCTTCCCATGGATACGAGCAGATGCGACTTTGGGGGACATGTTGGTTTGCTGGGGCATTGTTTGGACGATAGTAAACGATGGACAGTGATTGATTGATATCAAATTGAAAACTATTGACGTAGCGGGTCAGCTCGACTGCGGACTCAGTGACGTGCCAAGTTTGGCGCGCAATAACTCTGGAACTAAAAGGGTCCAGAACGATCGCAATTAACCCAATCAAAGCAGAGTTCTTGCGCTTTTGAATGCACCTATCAGCACCAATTAAATCGTACTTTTAGAAAAATTCCGCCAATGAGAACATGGAGGCGACAACTATTATGCGCCAGAGTAGTAAACGAAATGAATTTGATTAGTGAGCGGTATCCGGTTTTCGGATAATGTTCATGTTTGAGTTGGTGGTTCCAGACGGAGATGGACCATTCTTGCTTTTGGCAGACATTCGTGTTTCACTGTAACCTGGGTCCAGTCGTGTAGAATGTGCGATGACGAATTCGGCAGTCAAACCGATCCAAGTATTGTGCAAGGTACACAAATCCTTTTGGTCAATTGCATGTATCAACCAATCCTCGGTATAGTGCCCTCACAGGGCAGCAAATCGAAGAAGTTGCGCCCACAAGTCCAAAGAGCCTACGTTTGGTGCGATGCGAGTGACGAGAAAATGTTCGACCTTTGTTACAAGTCTGACTTGGCCACACGTTTTGACTCGAAGAACAACTACGGGAAACGTGTGGCTTACGTCATGCTTGCGACGGAGCTTAGCATTGCCATGAAACGAAACGTGAATTCACGTCGAAGCAAGTGCAGGACAAGGTCAGATATTTTTGTAATATATGTATACTTTAAGTTATCACCAGTGATTAGTTTGCAAAATTGAAAACGGAGTGGTCAATCTCAAAGCCAAGTCCTACGGGCAACTCTTCGTTGCAGCCCATTCCAATGCACTACGATGTTATGTTGGAATACTGGGGTGAAAAAGCTGGCTACCAAAGGGAAGCTTTGATGAGTACGGACGATTTCAGCGACGATGACAACGCCGAAACAAAAATCGGTATCAATAAGTCTATCTATCATGCTATCTTTTTCCATTTTCTTGAGTCAGAATTTTTCCATGATTTTTGCTTGAGCAAGTTTCATTTTTGTGAGAGATAATTGATTCCGATTTTAAAAATGATTTTAGTCTGACTAATTTATTCTTACGAGAAATGATTTTGCAGAGACGTCTGAGGTGGAAAATGTCGATGCGCCAGAAATAAAGACGGAAGGGCAGAAACAAAGCAAGACTGAAGGGCCGCAACGAAAAAAGATGAAAAAAGCAGTCCGGACATCAAAATCCAATTCGGACTCTTTGGAATCTGGTTTAATGCCATCATGGAGGGACTTAGGTTCTTGGGAACCTCCATGGCGCAGCAGCCTCCGGCGCAGACTGCACAAGGTGCCACGTTGAATGACGTTCTGGATGCGATCAAGGCGCAGTCGGACACAATGGCCCAACTTGTCGCCATCATGGTTGCCCAAACAAAGAAGCAGCAATAAATACAATTAAGTTTTGTTGACTTTTGTATTTTCAAATTTATCTTTGCCAAATTTTTGCAATTGACAATCTCTATTATCAAATTTATCTGTACAATATTTTTGCAATTGATAATCTCTTGGACAACGCACTCGTTCGGAGGAGCTTGTTCGTTTCGCCATCGCCTTCGTCGTAGGGTTGCACGTAATTATTTTAGTCTCGCCTTGGGCACGGAATGTCAAAGAGGCCATCATTAAATTGTAAGAACATGTTGTGGAGAACAAAGCAAGCCGCGACGACGCAGACGGTGCGGTCGAGAGTCTTCTCTTTCATGGGAGTCTTCAATATTCGAAACCGTTCCTTGAGTCGCCCGAAGGCACATTCGACTGTAATTCTGGTGCTGGAGTGCTTAAAGTTAAAATGCTTTTGCATACTCGACAGTTTTCCACCCTCTTCGTGTGGCAAAAATGGGGTAATCAACCATGGAAACAACGCGTAACCGGCGTCGCCAAGGATAAAGCAGCCCACCGGTATTTTATCACGGATTGTACAGCCTAAATTTATCGATTAATCATTAGAAACGATTTTGAAGCGGAATGAAAATCATGAATTGTCTGACCTAGTTTTGACGTTTTCCATATTTTGTTTTCGGAATACAACCCAGGACGAATATCCACGGACAAAAACTTGAGCTTCGCATCGACCAGTGCTTGGATGTTGAGGGAGGGGTCGCAATTGCGATTGTAAAAACCGTCGAAATCATCTGGCCGATAAATATCGACCAGGGTCCCGTCGACAGCTCTAACAATACCAGGGATGTTTTGTTTGGCAAGAAATTCCATTTCTATTTGGGCCCAGTCTGATGCAGCCTTGGGCAGTTTAATCCACGATTTTACATGGTCAGCCAAAATGGTGATAAAGTGATTTACTGTTTCCACGCACCAGGACTTTGACATGCCGAACGCAGCACCGGTTTCGCGGTATCCACCCTCGGAACCAAGAAAGTAGAGCAAACCTTTTTTTCGAATGAGTGGGGCGTGGTACGATGGCACATATCGGGCTGAACATCGCGAAACCATCACACAAGCTGAGTAAAAGTAGCTTGGCTACAACGGAGGTTGGTCTCGAACCACTGATTGAACTGTGGCTTGCCGAGCATAGAGTCAAAGTCGACATGAAGACATTGTACTTGTCCGCACGACCCAGCATGGTAGCGACAACAACGCACACGAAGGATATCGTATATGCCGCAGCAACAACAGCGACCTGTTCAGTCTGAATTGGACTGTACCAGGAGATCACAGACACGAACGATTGTGTTCACCGACCAGAAAACCAGGCGACATCCGAATATTGATTACCCGTACAGAAATGAACCACCTCGGACATGAAGTAAATTCTTCCCCGATCAGGGCCTGGTCGGGGAAGAATTTACTTAGATGAAATGCACCATATCATTTAGGTTATCTGCCCATCAACCAGCGAATCACTTCGATGTAATCCAGGCATCACAGTCAATACACTCACTCACAGTGTACCGAGGGAGGTTCGGTAAGTCCTAGTGTGGGCCTAAATAGGATCCACCGAGGGACTAATTAGTTGCTCCCTCGGCGAGTCTAAAAATAGAACCCGACTGAACTCACTGTCAACTGTGCACACACTTGCACGGGTAGTTGATCCGAGGCACGGCCGAGAACACCGACCATGACATATAGCTTGGTTTCACGATGTCAATTGTAAGCTGGGTAGATTAACAGCGTAAAACTGTGCTGTGGATGTTGGGGCATATGTACTCTCTGCCAAACTAACAGTACTGTAAACCCAGTGAATTTACTGACACACTGCTAAATTCATACTGACCTGTCGTTTCAACGACAAGTATACTGTACCTTCACCACATCACGTTTCTAAAATAAGTTCCATCAGTTGCATGGCATTTCTATCTCCAAATTGTCGTGTCTGGATGGAGTTTGATCACCTTTGTGGTTTTGGACATTATAGCCAATAGAAATGCTTAGCTTACAACCTGACATGCGGCGTCGTGCAAATTCGATTTATATCACGTCAAATTCAAATATCTTGATAGTTGTATAATTTCTCAATGGAAGCGCTCGTCGTGCACGAAGCCTTAAAACTGGATGTCGGTCGTGTAAAAACCGTACTAGTATTATGAATCCTACCATGTCTTAAAGGCAATAAAATATTAAGGTAACATTAATATCTATTCGCTGCAACGCCCAAGACAACCAATTTTGCGCTATAAATTTGATTCGTCATCGGGCAGCAGAAAAATAGTACTACTCTGGAAGAAAATATAAGGAAGTCTCTATATAATGGAGCATATTTTTTTCAAAAATTGACCAAACTGTACGGATTCGATACGAATCGACCAACCAACGCAAGGCGAATCCGATGCGACAATCTATTCGTGAAAATAGTCAGCAGAAAGAGTGCTGGCTAGAGTCCACCCACATAATTTATTCCATATAAAAATATCTGATTCAGTAGTAGTACTACTAGTAGTGACATTAAAAGTAGTTGGCAAAGAGTCGAATTAATGCAATTTGGACAATGGAAAGCATAAGCGAGTGTTGTGAGCATTAATATACTGTAATGAATTCTTGATACTACATATTTCTCGTCGACAACGTCGTTCCCTGTAGAACTGTTGTATAATAGCTGAACAGTTCCGTCCGAAGTCGAGATGCACCAAGCGAATTAACACGGGTTTGAGCACGATGTCAAGAGGAATAGCCCGGTCAACGTAGGTTATGCTCACCACTGTCTTTTGGTGACAGTATAGTATTGCTTTCAGTAACTAATGCTTCATTTTGGCAAGAAAACTACAGTAGTATTAATACGTCGAATAGGCTTGTAAACAATAGTACTAGTATTGGCTTTGTCATACTCCGCATCGCTTAGTAATACTATCTACGGATAGTACCTTGAAGTAAGGCAATACAAATCCTAGTATAATTGAGTACCACTGTACTAGACTTCCTTATCTTTTTGTCCAAGTGGACAGTGGACTTTTCCTTATATTTTCTTCCAGAGTAGTACAAAATAATCGAGGTTTAATTATTCTGAGGCCTTGGTGCTTATGGCCACCCGTGATGTTGCGTGCAATGAAGGGCAGGTAAGACAAACGTTTGAAGCTGCCGCCCCTAGACAAGTATCGGAAAGTGACGAATTGGTACTCTATGCATGAACCTCACCAACCGCGCTTCGTTTCCCGGGGTTCTTCACCGTGCACTCGAAGCGCCAGTGGCGCGTGTTCCTTCTGCCAATTGGACCTTGAAATGTTGTCTTTGTAACATCTTCAGCCAATGATATAATTGCATTTTTCATATTAGCCAATCATAAACAAGTAAAATGTCCCTACTGAAAAAATGCATTTTGCAAATGTTCGGAGAAATTTGGAACAGCGGAAGTACAGTACTCCTACCAGATACAGTAGGCATTGCTTTCGTATACTGATTTCCACACTATTCGAAACGGTGACATTTGACAATGTTTAACAGTTTATAAAATGTTACAGTTATCATTTGTCAAATTATTCAACACCATCTTGGTTTCCAACCACGAGTTCAGACATCCTCTCACTAAGCACAGACAAGTCGCCGTCGAGAATGCCAGTTCTGACCCAGCAATTTGTCACAGTTGACTGTGACACGGAACGCCATGCCTCTTTGGCCCAGCCCATCGCCACCACAAGTGGAACCTCGTACAGTACATATCTCCCCTGCCGCCCCGCCATGAGAGCATCAATTTGGTCGAGCGCGTTCTCCAGCTGCCGCTGTTTGACCTTGGACTTGAACGATGCAATGATGCCAGCATCTTGTGGTTGAAGGTAAGCAGTTGTTTTCTTCGGCAGCATTCGAACTCGAATGTTTCTCAACACAATCTCGGTGTGAAGTATGTGTGGTGGTGCATTGTCCACGAGCATCAAAATCTGTCGGTCTTGTGCAGCCACTTTGGCATCCAACGCATTTAGGTACGTGTTGACGATGTTACCATTCATCCAAGCCTTCTTACTTGCATGGTAGTCGAATACGAGTTCTACACCAAAGCCCCATCTGGGCTTACCTCACCCCAACCCAGGGCACGACCCTCATATCCATCCATCAACAGGCTACATACAACAAAGGTCCGCTGGGTGGGAGACATTACCAATGACAAGGGCATCATGCTACTTAGCCTTGAGTCTCTCCGCACAAAATTTGGGTGGTCCAGGCACACGCTCCAACGGTTTGCTCCCATCTGGGACGCCATCCCCACAGCTGTGCCACCCAACCCTCCACCGGCCCTTCAGCAACAAACACTACCGTGCCCCCCCCGCCCCGCCGGCCAACCACTACCTCTCCCACTGCCACCACCGCTCCGTTCCTCCCTACCATACCTTGCCCACCCTCTTGGCCGCACCTTCTTTGTCCCTACCCCGGGCTACGAAACCCTACACATCCCTGTCCACGCCATGCTAGTCATCCCTCACCACCTCACCCATCAGGATGGACAACCCCCCACCCTCAGCTACCGCATCGGACAGCGCAATAGTATCTAAACCCGGCAATCACCCGCGGGCACAGAGATTGCTGTCACCTTCTGGCACGAACTCCGCAAAGACTCCGACATCTGGTACTCCCCTACACCGCGCGAAGCGCGCGGCCGCCACAGACTGGTATCCATTACCGACTGTGCAGTACTTATCGGCAACCTCCTACCCACCAGCCGAGACCAACGCCACAAGTTTATTCCCTGGACCGACACGTCATGGACTGACACACGTACCCATATCACCCACAGCGGGAAAAATAACCGCTCCCTCATTGCCTCCACCGCGAGAGGCACCACCGACCGGACCCAAAGCCCTACAGGGCGCCAGCCGGCCCAGCAGGCAACGCCGGCCTGTACCGCATGCCACCGCCTAGCGGACACTACTTTATGTCCCGACTGTGGCCAATGACATCACTCGGCATGCATCCCACACTGCCAAGTTGTCCCTCATCACACTACCCCGACGTACGGCCTACACACCCTCCCCCTACGGGCTGCACGCACTTATGCTGTGGGTGATGGCAGCGTCACGCACCAGGGCACCCCAGCCACACATGGAACCTGGAGCTACATGGGCCGCGACGGAACCACCCTCGCGGGGACCTTACAAGTACACGCTAATCACATCACACCCACGCGTTGCGAACTACATAGCCTCCTGGTGGGCCTCCATCATTCTGGAGATGCTGCACTACAAATATGCGACAACCCAAAAGCCATTGGACTGGTCGTCCTAGCCAGATCCCTCAAACGCCGCGGAGGGCTCCCCCGCTACAGCAACATATACAGGGTGGAACTTCGCTCGCTCATGGCTCTCTTCACCGATACTGGAACCTTCACCGGCGAATGGATCCGCTCTCACCAGGACCCCGCGGACACGCCCGACCCAATCCTCCGCACCAAGCGCACACTCCTCGCCGAGGCGGACTCCCTCGCCACCCTAGCACACCAGCTCCTCCCCCTTACGAACTATGCGCACCTCATTATCCCAGACTACTGGGAGCTTCGAGACGACCACGACAGGCCGATCACGGGCGCAACGGCCCCATGGCTGGGCGCAGTCTATGGCCGAAGAGATTGGCCCAATGCCCAAGCCCGGAAACCGGACACCCGCCAGACCATCCAGCCCTACGCTCCCCACAGGGGACATCTGTAAATGGGACCTCCTAGCGCTCAATTTCTACTGGCGTGCCATCTGCTACACCTTATACACCAACGCCCGCATACACCGCATCTACCCACGCTGGGAGCCACACTGTCGCACATGCCCCGCTTCCATCGACACGCAGGAACACCGCTTCGGCCTCTCACAACCTGTATGCCCAATGTCGGTCCCACTCTCCCAAAAAATCCTCCTCGCCACACAAGCCATCCTCCCAAAGGCCAGGCTCCCTGACCAAGATATCTACCTACCGGGACATAGCACAGCAACCGCGCACATCCTGCCAGGACTGAAACGTCCGCAATGGAAAAGCCGTGGCGGCAACCCCTCCCCCAACACGGGCACCTGCATGATTCCCCTTACCGCTCAACGCTGTGTCCATGCCCTCCACATGCAACGCCTACTGCCCCCCCCCAACCTGAATCTCTCATGCTCGCTGCCTCCCAATTATCCTGGGAATCTCACCAGTGCCCCAAGCCGGGCCTCCTACTACCGCGCTGGCTATACCACACAGCGCTGCGATCCACCCCCTCCTTGCACCACGGGACTTCTGGTTTGGTCAATGGATGGGCGGACCCAATGGCGCTACTTTTCATGGACCACTCGGACGCTCCCCCCACTGCATTATCCCCCGTCTCCCGACTAACCACCACTGGTGGATCGATGCCACTCACAACCCCTACCCCTCCACTTGGTGGCGCCTACTTACCACGGCAATACACGAAGCTACCGCTCATCACACGCCGGCCACCTACTGGTTTGTCGTTCCCGATGGCTCACGCGGCCATACAACGGCTGAGCAGCTACAAACAACATGGCTTCTCACCATACCCCCGCGCCAGCTCTCGCTTCGCCACATCTCCTCCATCCACCACACCTCCACGCCCCACTGGGGAACACTAGCTACTGGCAACCCCACTCCTCTCCACATCGGATTCTTCACCACAGGCAATACACTCGAGCTCCTCACCTCTGCCCAGCTGTACTGGACGGCCATACTTCAACTCATCGATGCCACCCATTGGCTGCATAGGCTTCCCCCAACCACTCTCCTCAGCTCGGAGGAAACTCCCACGGCAGATGCCCCACGACTTCTCACTGCCCCCACACACTGCCTGCACTGGGCCCAGACCTCCATTCCTGACTACGACCCATATGCCCTCGAATCCCGCGCATTCCTAACGGCTACGTACCCTACTATATACCACGCTACCCCAGGCTGGACAACCTTCCCAACCATGACTCACTCCACACAAGCCTGGGCAGCCTCAATTACCCATCTCCGCGCTCCACTTTTCCATACCCAATGGTTCGTGGCGCACTGGGCAGTCCTCCGCCGACATTGGCAAACTACATGCGCTACTAACGTGGACCACATCCGCACCACAGGGGAACTACCCCTCCTCACTGAGGTTAACAACACCATCCGGCTTAAACGCCGCCACCACGATGCCGCCCCCATGGGCCACGACCGACGTATCCGTGCCCGCAGAGCCCACCTTACAGCCAAGACGCTGCAATGGCACTCCCATCGAATCTCCTTACTACAACCCGCCATCCCACCTCCCATAGGCTACGCCGACCCGACCCTACGGCCACCGCGTCTCCCCCCGGACCTCGGACTACCACCTCCAGCGGTATAAGGATTCTGCCCCTTTGAGCAGACCCACTCAGGTTTTTCAAGTAGTTAAGTCCGCTAGCTGCCAAAGCAGCTAGTACGCGGCCGAGGCCATTAAGTGCCCGCTGAGCGATTTTAACTTTACAGCGTAATAACAAATAACAAATAACAAATAACAAGAGTTCTACACCAAACTGGCCACGGAAGCATCGCGGGCGAACAGCACTACCGATAAAGAGCGGGTCGACGACATCACTCCCATCAGCATTCGTGGTAAGAGCAAGCGTGATTCTTTTCTTGTTCTTTTTGGTTCCGGAAACTTGATAGCGTGAAATTGAGCAGTGTGGCGACATGGAGTAAAAGAACGAAAGTCTCATCCATGTTGTAGATGTTGCCGGCTTCGTAGCCACTGGTGACATTCTGCATTTCACGCCGTCCGATATCGACATCGGCTTG